ATCGTCCCTGCCAGCCCATATACATTCCCTATACCGTACCTATCAGCCCCTATACACTCCCATCCCTGTCAATTGTATTGTGCGGTATTGTATCGTACTGTACTTTACTGTATTGTATTGCTCTTCCGCAGGGAGTATTGCTGTGCATTGCATTTTCTTTCCCAGGGAGTATAACAGTGCATGGTATTTTTCTCCCGCAGGGAGTATTGCCGTGTATTGTGCTTTCTCCCGCAGGGACTCTTGCAGTGTAGTGTATTGTTCACCCGCAGGGAGTACTGCAGGGGACATTGTGACCTTTTGGTGCTCCAGGGATCTGTCGCGTCCCAAATGAATTACAATGGCTCCAACGGCTTGGGGCGAGCGTGTGGGTGTGGTTGTGGTTGTTGTTGTGGTTGGTTGTGTGTGTGTGTGTGTGTGTGTGTGTGTGTGTGTGTGTGTGTGTGTGTGTGTGTGGGGGGTGCGCGTGTGTGTGTGTGTGTGTGTGTGTGCGTGTGTGCGTGTGTGCGTGTGTGTGTGTGTGTGTGGGTGTGTGGGTGTGGGTGTGGGTATGGGTGTGGGTGGGTGCGGGTGCACGGGTACCCCAGTGTAGGCTTCCGCCCCGTGGGCGGAGTTTGGAGCAGGGCTCCAGCGGGACGGGTATCCAATGTAGGCCTCCGCCTCTAGGAATCGCGCTCTCGCGTGGGACGTCTTTGCAAGTTATTCAGAGGCCGCGCCCTCGATACTCAGGAATATCGCTCTCGCTGTGGATTGCCTGACGATTTATTTGGGAATCGCGCTGTCGCTCGAGGTCTCCCCGCGATTCATGCGGGACGCACGCTTCAGCAACTCGCCTGTTCGGCCTGGCCGCTTGGGCCTGCCTTCCCGACCCGCCCGTTAGGGTCTACCCGCCCGATCCGCCCGTCTGGTTCTGCCACGTGTTGTCTGCTCCTGCCCCCCTCCTGCTACTCTCTCTCTCTCTATCTCCCTCTCTCGCGCTCCATTATCCTCACTCCCCGTCCCTTCCTTCCATCTGTCGTTTTGTCCCCTGCCTTTGGGGCTGCGCGACATACACGTTGCAGGTGAGAAAGATATACACCCCCAGGAGGGGTATGATCGAAGACGAAACGGCTGGTATCGAGGGTTCGGGAAAAGACGTGCTGAGTGGCACGCGAGTGGATAAGAGCGAGCAGTCTCAGGCTGATTGTTGTTGTTGTCGTTGCTGTTGTCGTTGTCGTTGTCGTTGTCGTCGTCGTCGTCGTTGTTGTTGTCGTTGTTGTTGTTGTTGTTGTTGTTATTGTTGTTGTTGTTGTTGTTGTTGGTGGTGGTGGTGGTGGTGTTGTTGTTGTTGGTATTATTCTTGTTGTTATTGTTGTTTCTGTTGTTAGTGTTTTTGTGGGGGTATTGTTATTAGTGTTGTTGTTGTGGTGGTGGTTGTTGTTGTTTTTGCTCTTGTTGTTGAGTTGTCATTTGATCGCCTCTCCAGTGACCATTTTGTTTTTTTTTAATTGAAGTGCCCCTCCCGGGGCTTCCACCCTGTTCTTTACAAGGGGAAGTTTTGGGCCTCAGACTGTGCTGTTGGCCCCCGAACTACAACAAATGCTCCCGCCTGGTACTCCGTTACATGTATTCAAGAATGGTGCTCTCGCGCGGGACTGTCATCCATTTGTGCAGGAATCGTGCTCTCGCGTGGGCCTTCCTCGCAAGTTATTGGGACGCCGCGCCCTCGACACTCAGGAATCACGCTTTCGCTTTGGATGTTCTCACGATTTACGTGGGAGTCGCGCTATCGCTCGAGACGTCCTTACGGTTCTTCATGCAGGACTGACGCTTCAGCGACCCGCGCGTTTGACCCCGCCGTCTGGGCCCGCCCGAACGATCCGCCCGTGAGGGTCCGCGCGGCCGAGCCGCCCGTTTGGTTCTGCCGCTGGCTTTCCTGCTCTTAGCCCTCCTCCGGTTCTACCGCTAGATGTCCTGCTCGTAGTTCCCCCCCTGCTAATCTTTCTCTCGTGTTCAATTCTTCTCCCTCTCCCTTGTCCCTTCCCTCCTCCTTCCCTTCTGCTGTTGTAGGGGCTGCGCCGACTACGCGTGTACGGAAGATATACCCCTAAGGGGGTTCGATCGAAAACGAAACGGGCGAGTATACATGTTGAATGATGTTATCGAACACTTAGAAGTTGTTGTTGTTGTAGTTGTTGTTGCTGTTGTTGTTATCACCGCTGCTGCTGTTGTTGACATCGTCGTCGTCGTCGCTGTCCTCTTCGTCGTTGTCGTTATCTTTGTCGTTGTCGTTACTGTTGTTGCTGTTGCTGTCGTCGTTGTTTTTGTTTTGGTTGTCGTTGCTGCTGCTGCTGCTGTTCTTGTTTGCGGGCGCAGCCCGTAGTCTGATTTTCGGGCAGTGCACGAAATTGATTGACCGAATTGAACTGAATGACCCGAGCCGTTCGATGGCAGTTCTTTTCCAGGGGTGAGGATTTTTCGCTTCGTAGGGGGTTGAGGATATTTCGCTGGCAGTTTTAGGCCAAGATCGTGGGGATTTTTCGCGTGCAGCTTTAAGTCAGGGCGGTGAGGATAATTCGCTGGCAGTTTTAGGCCAGCGAAGTGAGGATTTTCGTTGGCAGTTGTAAGCGAGGGGTGTGAGGATGTTTCGCTTGCAGTTTTAAGCGAGGGTGGTGCGGATATTTCGCTGGCAGTTCAAGGCCAGGGGCGTGAGGATATTGTGCTGGCAGCTTTCAAGCGAGGGCGGTGAGAATAGTTCACTGGCAGTTTTAAGCCAGGGGGGTGAGGATATCTCGCTGGCAGTTGTAGGGCAGGGGCGTGACGATACTTCGCGGACTGTTTTAAGCCAGGGGTGTTGAGATACTTCGCTGGCAGTTTTAATGCAGGATGGTGGGACTATTTCGCTGGCAGTTTTATGCGAGAGGTATGAGGATATTTTGCTGGCAGTTTGAAGCGAGCGCGGTGAGGATATTTCATTGGTAGATTTAAGTCAGGCGGGTGAGGATAGTTGACTGGTAGTTTTAGGCCAGGGGCGTGACGATCTTTCGCTGGCAGTTTTGAGCGAGGGGTGTGGGGATGCTTCGCTGGCAGTTTTAGGCGAGGGCTGTGGGGATATTTCGCTGGCAGTTGTAGGCCAGGGGGGGCGAGGATATTTCGCTGGCAGTTTTAGGCCAGGGGTGTGAGAATATGTCGCGGCCAGTATATGTGAGGGCGCGAGGAGACTTCGCTGGCAGTTTCAGGGCACGTGTTTGAGGATAGAGTGCTGGCAGTTTTAAGTGAGGGCGATGAGGATAAATCGCTGGCAGTTTTAAGTGAGGGATGTGCGGATATATTACGCTGGCCGTTTCAAGCGAGGGCGGTGAGGATGTTTCATTGGCAGTTTTGAGCGAGGGGTGTGGGGATACTTCGTTGGCAGTTTTATGCGAGGGCTGTGGGGATATTTCGCTGACAGTTTTAGGCCAGGGGCGTGGGGATTTGTCCCTGACAGTTTTGGGCGATGGCGGTGAGGATTCTTCGCTGGCAGTTTAGGGGGTTGAGGATATTTCACTGGCAGTTTTAAGCGAGGGGTGTGAGGAAATTGCAGGGCGGTGCGGATATTTCGCTGGCAGTCTTAAGCCAGTGGCCCTGCCTTGCCCGGCCGAGGGCTATGCATCCAGCGCGGTGCTGCGCCCGTATAGATGCTCGCTCGCCGTTTGGCGTGGGGCTGGCGTGGGGCCAAGTGGCGAGCTATCCGTTGTTTGAATTTTTTAAAATCATAATTATTGTTGATCCCCCCTGCGCGGTAATCATTATTTTCCGATTAAAGTTCTTCTCCCAGGGCTCGCACTTTTTCTTGACAAGGGAACGCCAGTGGCCACCAAACTGCGTTGTTGGGCCCCGAACTACAACAACGGCTCAGACCTGATGCTTCTTCACAACTTAGTATTCCCAAATCGCGCTCTCGCGCGGGAGTTCCTCACAATTTGTATAGGAATCGCGCTCTCGCGTCGGGCACCCTTGCAATTTATTCAGAGGCCGCGCCCTCGGCACTCAGGAATAACGCTCTCGCTGTGGATTGCCCGATGTATTTGGGAATCGCGCTGTCGTTCGAGGTCTCCCCGCGATTCATGCGGGACGCACTCTTCAGCAACCCGCCGGCTCGACCTGGCCGCCTGGGCCCGCCTTCCCGACCCGCCCGAGAGGGTCTAACCGCCCGATCTGCCCGTCTGGTTCTGCCACGTGTTGTCTGCTCCTGGCCCCCCTCCTGCTACTCTCTCTCGCTCTCCATCCTCCTCCCTCCCCCCTTGTCCCTTCCTTCTATCCATCCTCTCTTCCCCTCCCTTAAGGGCTGCACGAAATACACGTTGCAGGTAAGAAAGGTTTCTACACCCAAGGGGGTACGATCGAAGACGAAGAGGGCAGGTATCGAGGGTTTGGGGTATACGTGTTGAATGGCACGCGAGCAGACAAGAGCGAACAGTCTCAAACTGATTGGTGTTGTTGTTGTTGTTGTTTCTGCTGCTGCTGTTGTTGTGATGGTGGTGGTTGTGGTCGTGGTGGTGGTCGTGGTGGTGGTGGTCGGTGGGTGGGTGCTGGGCAAAGCAATGCGGGTGGGCGGGGCTGTCTGCCAGCGGGTAGGTTTCTGGAACAACCAGTGCGGGTGGCTCGCGGGGCGGCTCGCGGAGTGGGTCGCCTGGCGGGACGACGACAAGACGACGAGAGTCTCGACCTTGGGACCCCACTTCAGCCACGCACCCAGGGACGGTGCAAGACCATGCATGCTTACAAAGCGTAGCCAGGCCCATTTTGGGCGCGGGATCGGATCCCTGGCCGAGCCAGGAGGGCGTGTGCACCGATCCTGGGCCCAGGGACGGGCCTGGCCAGGATGGTAGCCTTGCTCCGACGAGCGCAGCTTGTGTGTGTGTGTGTGTGTGTGTGTGCGTGTGCGTGTGCGTGTGCGTGTGCGTGTGCTTTCGTCAGAAGAGACGGCCTTGCCACCGGCTCCCGCGGGAACGCGGGGCTGCTGCCCCCCCTCCCCGCCGCAGCCTCATGGACGACGCCTTCTTGCTCGGAGGCGCCCGCCGTGCCCCTTTCTGATCCCGGCGGAGGGAACCACATCCACTACCTCGTCGCCATCTCTCTCCTCCTCCTCCTCCTCCTCCTCCTCCTCCTCCTCCTCCTCTCCCCCTCCTCCTCCCTCCAGCTCCTCCTCCTCCTCCTCCCTCCAGCTCCTCCTCCTCCACGGCTCCTCTCCCTCCAGCTCCTCCCCTCCTCCTCCTCCTCCGCTTCCATCCCTGTTTTTCCTCGTCTTCCTCCTTCTCCCTCCTCCTCCTCCTCGTCCTCCTCCTCCTCCTCCTCCTCCACAGTCGCTGTTTGAGGTGCCCAAGAGTCGACCGACCGCACCCCAAGTACAATCGTACACCAGCGATTCTGCGCCCACACCCGCAGGCCTCGGGGGCAGGGGAGACTGGGGGGCCCGCATGGCGAGCCCGTGCGCCTAGGCATGAGAATCTGCTACTACAACCCACAAGAGGCAGCGAGCATAGAACGACTTGAGGACATCAGCGCGGAACTACACAGTTGGGACGTCATTCTCCTCAGCGGCACATGCAGATGGGCGGGAGCAGAAGCAGTACAGAGACACTACCTCCCTAACCACTACGTGTTACAATTTGGTGCTCGCAAGGGGAAGTGGATCAACAAAAGCTGTGGCTTAACGATCCTCATCAGTCAGAGAATTGACGAGCGCAGCTTAAGAGAGACCTACACCCCACCAACCAGCCTCCAGGGACGGGTTGCAGGAATTCGCCTCTCGACTGGCCAACACGACTATGTTTTTTTTGTCTACTACTACGCCCCAACACACCATACGTACTACGTGCCATTAGCAGAAGCGATAACCAAATGGTTGGAGCAGTGTGTCGATCGAGTAGGCAGCCGTACGACGATAGTGATGGGCGGGGATGTGAACAGCGACTTTGGTTGCCAGCGAGACACCGACGGGACTATTGCGCGGAGCAGAGGACCGACGGTAGGAGACAGGGAACCCAAAATAGAGAACTCCAACGGCACGAGCCTTAGGACCCTGTGCCAGACCAGCGACCTCAGTATAGTCACCACTTACCACATCGCCGAACCTACATTCTACGGACATTCAGGTTACAACAGTCGCATCGACCACATTGCATTACCTACAGGGGCCCTGGGACTCGTAAAAAGGTGTGAGGTCCTCCATCGGTCAGGAAAAAGGCTCCAAAAGGTAAAAGTACGAGGGCACAGGGACCACCTCCCCATCGGCCTCACCCTCCTCGCCTTTACTTCCAACACCTCCTTCCCCACGCGCGCCCGCCTACAACAGGGGCTGTGCAGGGACGGACTCATGGAGTGTCTGAGCAGCGGCCACAATAGGGAGATGCTGCTCACCGAACTCGACAAGGAGGTGGAGGAGGTGGGTGGGGAGCAGTGGGAGAGAGCACTGGGAGCGGCGACGCCAGACGAGACCTGGGACCTTTTGGGGGGAGCAGCACGATCGGCCATGCTCACGACTTTCGGAAAAAAGTGACACGCCCGACGAGATCGACCAGCTTACGAAGCGAGCCAAGCAATACCGACTCGAGCTCCTCAGGAAGCGACGAACACTGCGACAGAGCCTAACACCAGAACAGTGTGCCGACGACTACGACTGGGTACAAAACGAGCTTAAAGAAGTCACGGCGGCGCTGAAGCAGGCCCGAGAAGGTGTAGAGAAACAAAGACGGGCGCTCCTGGTCGAACGCATATGGGAGGCCTACGAAAAACGGAACCTCGCCGAGATGCACCGACTACGCATCCAGTACCAGAGGAACGGACGCGGGCCAAAGAAAAGGTACTGCCGATCAGCTCGAACCCACTGGCCTTGCGACTACTGGTATCAGGAGCTTGCCCATCCAGCTTTGGAAGGGGGACTAGGAGCAAGGCCTATCGACAGAAAGGCAGAGAGAGCAGAACACGAGGCTTTCGTCCAGGAGCACATCGACCGATTGCCGACCGACCACGATCTTCTTTTTCAGGTCGAGGCCGACAAGCGAGCGATGCGTAGGTATTGCCAGCGAGCCAGTAAACGACGGGCCTGGCCACCATGGGGCATTCCGATCGAAATGACATGGTTGATGATCGATCCCACCCTCCATCTTCAGGACCCAGCAGAGCTCAACAGACGACTAGAAGAAAAGCGAGTAGCAGCTGCAGAAAAGAGGGGGGACGAAGATGAGCTTGCACACTACACGACACTGGGACGATGCAAGAAGGGGAGGGAACTGCTTCGACGGATGGGGTGGGCGGAAGGTACCAGGTTGGGACGTGTGCCGACGGCGACTGATGGGACAGAAGGGGCCGCCTGGGGGCAGCAATCTTATGCAGTGGGGAGGGGCGGGTACGCAGGACTAGGTGCAGACACGATTGCGGACCGCAGCAAAGGGTACATGAAGTACCTAGACCAATTCCTTGCACAATGCCGAAGTTGTCAGGTCACCCCGTTGGACTGGCACCGATCACAGGCATTCCCAGCAGAGAAACACAACAACAAAGAAGGGATACTAGGGAAGCGTATACTACACGTCTACGATTCCTTTGGGATGGCTTGGCACTCAGGCATCCACTCACGTGGTTCACCCACAACGCAGGCGCCCTGGGCCCAAGGAGGCCTCCCACACCGCTGTCGGGAAAACGCCATCCTCTGCGTACAAGCGGCCCAATGGAGGGCTGCCCAAGGGGGGGTGAGCACAATCGCAACCAACTACGACGGCACCAACGCGTTTGCAGCCACCAACAGAGCTTTACTCAGAGCGGTTGCCTTCAGGCAAGCACACGAACACGACCAGCGCTTCGCCATGGCAGCAATTGACCACTCTACCCTGACGCTCGAAGCTGCCGACGGCACAGTCGAAGCTGAGAGCACCACAGGCGCCCAAATGGGCTTCACCCTCTGCCCAAGGCAATTCAACGACGCATACAACCTGTACGTCACAAAATGGTGGGAACAAGGCCGCACGGACCCAGACCAGATTATCCACGACACGACGAACCCAGTCGCAGGCAACACTCACGACTTAGCCCTCAACACGCTCATGGACGACATCACTTATGTGCAGACAATCTCACCCGCAGCGACGGCTGGAGATATCGAACAACAACTCAACAGCAACACAGAACGCCTTTCCCAAACAATTGCAGCAGGAGGATGGGGACTTAACAATGCCAATACCAACCACCTACTATACCTAGTAGGGCAAGGCTGCTACGGGAAACCCAGACAACTCAGACGCAGCAAAACACTGCAAGGTCAGGCGCTAAGGGAGATGCGTGTACTTGGCCCCTACCTACCAGCTGGCCAGGGCATCACTGGCGAAGTCGTGCGGCGCATCGCAGCCATCCGCGTTGCATGGCGACAGTGCGGGATCTTCTGGACCTCTAAGGTACCCCGACAAATAAAACGCATGATGTTCATGGCCTTCGTAGTAGGTGCGGCCCTTAGCGGATTGCCTGCGCTAGTTCTGACAGATGCTCACACAACAGCAATCGACAGCGTACTAGGCAAGTACCTACGGACGCTAGCGGGAGGAGCAATGTCGTGGACCAGAACAGATGGGACAGTGAGGTGCAACAATCTGCGACAGGTGTTCAGATACTGGAGACTTGAGCGCACATCCGTATCTTTGCTTGTGCGACGCCTACGATGGTACCAGAACTGGTCAAGGCACCCTTGGGAGCACGGAGCAGTCATCGCAGCGGTGTTCGGAACATCCAGACTAGATGCGGCTCAGGACATACGGAGACTAGAGGGGCAGGGATTCGTGGGGCCCTCCTCCACCCCGTGGGCACAGCAGTTTGCAGCCGACATGCAGGTGATAGCAACTGTGGACGAGAGCGTGGGATGGTATGCATACAGGGAATCCGACCTTGCCATATTCCAACAGGGGAGTACGGAACAAAAAAACTGGTTACAAACAGACCCATCCATATTGTACAGTTACGAGCGAAATTGGGATGTGCTTACGACACGAGATGCGACGCTACAGGAGGAGGAGGGCAGGGAGGAGGATACATTAAAACCTTACTGGTGCGATCATACGACGAAGGGCGAAAACGACACGGAACAGAGGTGTGGCATGCGCTTTGCGACATACGCGGCACTAGCTGGGCATCGCCGAGAGACCCACAACATCCGACCAGCGGTGGCGTCCGTAATCGTCAACAACCAGTGCCCCTGGTGCAAGAGCACATTTATTAATCGTAAGGTATGTGTCGACCACGCGGTCAGGGCTGTACACGGGCACGGTATCTGCCACCAAGACAGGTCGATGTGGTCCCACCCCATTTCCGACCCCAGCTCCCTTAGCTGCCAGATCTGTAACCACGAGGCTCAAACTCTTGAGGAGTACCACGCACACATACGCGAGCACATAGCAGGGCCAGAGTCGATCAGAGCAGCACGGGGGGAAGGAGCACATGTCGCACGGGGGCCACGGCGATTGGCGCATCAGAGCCAGCACAAAGAGAGGAGGGGGCGCAGCCGAAGGGCAGCGACCAGCACAGCGCCCACACCTCGGCGGAGGCGGAGTCGGCTCGTCAGACACGCAGCAGCCGCAGCAGACGCCGCAGCAGCCGCCCCCCACACAGCGCCGAGGAGGAGGCGGTCGAGGACCCCCAGGAGGCGGCCGTGGTGGTGGAGGAGGCGGCCAGGTGGAGCTTCGGGACCAGCTGAGATCGCTCCAGAGGCTCACCCTCCAGAACTCGAACGAGATTCGCAATTTCCTGCATCTCACGGGAGAGTTCTGGCTGACGCCGCTCGAGCCAGAATGGGTGCAGGCGCCGATGGAGACAGGCAGAGAGTACGGGCGGAATGTAAAGCAGCTGGGCAAGGGGCACGGCCTCGGCCCACCGCGTGGCCAGGTGGCGGCGAGCCTGGTCGAGGAGATCGTGGCGGTGCTCGACTCGGAGGAGCAGAAGCTCGACGCGTCCCTCCTCCACGTGAGACAGCTCCTGAAAGAGTTCATGAGCCAGCTCGACGAACCCTGGGGACCAATCTTCATCGCG